ATTCACCTTAACCGTTTTTCTCTAGCTTGTGGCACATTTCAAGTGACAAAATGATTTTGGTAGGACTTGAACCACAATGGTACATTACGCAGCCTGTAATCTTTACCACTAGACCACTTGCTCGTTGTTGTAACCCTTGCGCAACTTAGTCACTTTATCCTTTTTTTCTCTAGTTTGTGGAACTAATATTCGACACATTTCAAGTCACAAAATTATTTTTGTAGGACTTGAACCACAATGGTGCATTACACAGTGCGTAATGGTCTTTACCACTAGACCACTTGCTCGTTGTTGTAATCCTAGCGCAACTTAGTCATTTTATCCTTTTTTCTCTAGTTTGTGCAATTTATATTTTTCACATTTCAAGAAACCTACGGCTACTTTTTCACCTTAACCGTTCTCCTCTAGTTTGTGCAATTATAAGTCGCCACATTTCAAGTCACAAAATGATTTTTGTAGGATTTGAACCACAATAGTTCATTACACATGCAAACGGTAGTCATTACCACTAGACCATTTACTTGTTGTTGGAAACCTACCGCAACTTATTGACCTTAACCGTTTTTCTCTAGTTTGTGGAATTAATATTTTTCACATTTCAAGTCACAATGGACTTGGACCACAATGGTACATTACTGACAGCGCGTAGTCTTTACCACTAGACCAGTGGCTCGTTGTTGGTAACCATCCGCAGCTTATTTACCTAAGCTGTCTTTTCCTAGCTTGACACATTTCAAGTCACAAAATTATTTTTGTCGGACTCGAACCACAATGGTACATTTCACAGCGTCTTGACCACTAGACCACTTGATCGTTGTTGCGCCACTTATTCACCTTAACCTTTTTTTCCAGCTTGTGCAATTAATATTCCACACATTTCAAGTCGCAAAATGATTGTTCTAGGATTTGAACCATAATGAGGCATTACTCAGCGTGTAGTCTTTACCACTAGAACACTTGTTCGTTGTTCAACGAACAAGTGTTCTGTTAATCACCTTAACCCTTTTTCTGTAGTAATATTCGATACATTTCAAGACACAAAATGATTTTTCTAAGATTTGAACCAAAATGGTACATTACACAGTGTTTAGACTTTACCACTTGACCACTTGCTCGTCGTTGAAATCCTATCGCATCTTTTTCACCTTGACCGTTTTAGTAGATCGACTTTACCGCAAGATCACTTGCTTGTAGTCGGGAAGCCTAACGCAACCTATACTTATTCACCTTATTTTTTTCTCTAGTTTGTATATAATTAAAATTCAACCATTTTCAAATCGCAGTATGGCTTTTCTAGGACATGAAGCACAATGGTGCATTACACAGCCAGTAGTCTTTACCATGCAGAAGATCACTTGTTGGTCGTTGGAAGCCTAACGCAACTTATTCACCTTATTTTTCAAATCACAAAATGGCTGTTGCAGGACTTGAACCGCTGCTGTTACACTACACAGCATGCATGTACCGCTAGATCACTTGCTTGTAGTTGGAAGCCTAAGGCAACTTATTCGCCTTATTTTTTTCTCTAGCTTTTATAATTAAAATTCAACGTACCATTTTCAAATCGCAAAATGGCTTCTCTAGGACATGAATCACTATCGTACTGCAATGTACATAACGCAACCTGTTGTCTTAACCAATAGACCACTTGCTCGGTGTTGGAAGCCTAACGCAACTTTATATTCACCTTATTTTTTGTCTACCTTGTATAATTAATATTCGACGCATTTCACAAGACTACTTGCTCGTTGTTGGAAGCATATAACGCAACTTATTCACCTTATGTTTTTCTCTAGCTTGTTTAATTTAATTAAAATTCAACAATTTTCAAATCACAAAATGACTGGCGTAGGATTTGAACCGCATTGGTACATTACACAGCCTGTAGACTTTACCACAAGACCACTTGCTTGTTGTTGGAAGCAAACCGCAACTTGTTCGCCTTATTTTTTCTCTAGCTAGTATAATTGAACCATTACATTACTTGAACCACAGCTGGTATATTACACAGCCTATAAAGTATTAGTAAGGGCTTATCGGTCAACCTTTGCCTTTTTTAACCGCTTTTCTAAGAGTAAGAAGGAATATATGTTTTCTATTTTGTTAACCTTGCACTGGATCATTTAAAATGTTTAACCAACCTCACAAAACCTGTCAAAAACTAAATTTCTTAATGTCAAAATGGATTGATCACGGTGCGCTAGACTATCGTGTCTATTGATGATTATCTCGAATATTATTTTCTAGCTAATGGTGCATTGCCCAATTTGGTGAAATTGTTGATACCACCAGGAATCGATCCGGGCTTCACACAGTTGCAATACTTCGTCCTTTCCACTAGAGTATCTTGCCTCCAGCTGCTTTAAGTTCTTTATATTTTAAAGTAAAATCTTTAATATTTTCGTGATAAAAATTTAAGGCTCGTGAGTTGTTCGTGACTCATTTAGGCTGCAGCTTATTTAGGCCGAGACGCATAACTATTTCCAGCTGAATTGTGGACAACTCAAATGATTGTTTTTTTACATGCTTCAAATGTCGGGGCTTAATTCGAGCTTCGAATATTGACTTCGAGTTAAGCCCCTCTTTTTTCACGGGGCTTAACTCGAACTTTCCAAGTTATGTTTGAGCGTTTCTTTCTTCGAGTTAAGCCCTTGACGAAAATGGGTGTGGTTTGGGCGTGGTCGGGGTAAGACTCGAAAAGGGCCTAACTCGAAGATTACCTACCTCCATCAAGAGCCCCTCTTGTTATCGAATGTTTGTTTGAACATGAATGTGCTCCAAAGCTAGAGTTATTACGATGTTCGATCTGAGGAAGCGTGAGAAACCCATTTTGCCAGAAGCGTATTTGTCGTCGTTAAAGTGCCTATGACACGAAATCTCACCCCAAATGTTTATAGTTGCATCGTAAAGATCACTTAAAATGACTTAATAATTTCGTTTATAGAATTTTGGTAACTTGCCTCCTTTGCAAGATATTTAACTTTGTTTCATATGCAAATATCACAGGTGTGACATCACATCGCATAATGACATTTTGAAAACGCAATATTTTACCATGATAAACTATTTTTACAAACAAATACAGTCAGAGGGTTAATTACCAGTTATGAAATTAATACATATACAAGGGCAATTTTTAAGTTTTTTAGATACGTATTCATCAAGAAAACTATACTTTTCTGAAAACTCATTATGTGATGTCACACCGGTGATATTTGCATATGAAACAAAGTTGAATAATTATCTTGAAAAGAGGGCAAGTTACCAAATTTCTATAAAAGAAATTATTAAGTCATTTTAAGTGATCTTTACAATGCAACCATAAACATTTGGGGTCATAGGCACTTTAAGTTGAGTTTCAAGGATTCACATATACGTCATCATTTTGTGATGCGTATTCAAAAATATTTTGTCTCAGCCGGACTCGATCCTTCACCATAGCACCCAAAGGCCTTGAGCGGTACCACTATAGACTACCAGGTCATGTTAATCTACCATATATTTGCATGCATGAATATATATTTATCGACTGGGAGTTCCGTGCTGAAAACTTTATTTTCCCGAGGTCTCAAGCCCCGTTTACACTACGCTCAATTTTTGGTACGGACAAAATTGGTACCCGTACCAAATTTATCCGTGTTCGGCCTTTGTAAATAGGTAGTCCGAAATTGAACGTGGTGTAAACCGGCCTTGGAAGCGGAACGTTTCTGAGGCCGATTTCGGTACGGACCTAAACGGTAAATAAACGTGTTTATTTTTTCGTTTGATGCCTTTAGTTTCAATGTAATAGATGATCAGGGGCCGCGGAACCGGGGGGGGGGGGGCAACGGGGCATGTGCCCCCCCCTTTTTTAAAAGTGAAAAAAGTGCCCTTTTTCTGGGCTAAAGTGCCCCATTTACAGAACGAAAAAAGTATTTCTTGAATAAACGCCCTCTTTTGCTGGAAAGAAAGTGCCCTTTTTGCAGTAGTAAAGACTCTATAAAGGCCATTTCCGACGTTATAGAGACTCCATATTTTCAAAAATTTTCGTTCGGCTCGTGAACGACATAAAATCGTTTGATTTTGATCATGTACAAAAGTGCCCTTTTTGGCCAATGCCCCTCCACTTTCGAAATGCTTCCGCGGCCTCTGTAGATGATTTTCTACTCACCAAGACAATAAAGAAGATAAATGATTAAAATGATTTATTTTCGTATAGTTTTACAATAAGACTTTTGACACAGCTACAAATTTTACTTATGGAGCCGAGACCAACTTGTCAATCGAGAGTCCACAAAACATATTGTTTCTTAATCCCATTCAATAAGTTTATTTTACCAAGTGTCAAACAACCAAACAGGAGAAAGTTCCACGACTTTTCTCCATAACTGAGCGATGTTATCATTCATTGGTGGATTGTTAAAAATTGGATTGAAAAAAGTTGAAAGTATTGTTGGAGACAGTCGAATCTCATGACTTTCACGTGACACGCTATCGTCCAATGCGATGCAAGAACAGAAAAGTTTCTGAAAATATCATTGTTAAAAGTTGAAAATTTTCAACTTCAACTTCAAATTTTTTTTCCGGCGGAAAATTGGTGTCGGCGAATCACATTTTACAAAATTTTCTTTCTGCGGAAAATTTTCTTAAGTGAAAATGGGCCTTCTTAATGGACATCACACACACTAATATAGTTCTTGCTTGAAATCATAAGCATGACAATCTATGCATGCTTCATGGCTTCGTGCGACGTTGACAAAAAAGTACAGCATGCTTAACCTAGCTTAAGCCTGTATCAGACCTATATTTATGAACACAGCATGATTAGAGATGAACGACTATATATAAGTTCACTGGCCAACATTGCCTAAGGCCTTTGGCTTCCGTTTACATTTTACTATAATAAATTATATAATGAAACGTACAGAAGTCTGACTTGTTTGATGAATTCAATTCATTTACTAGCTGCCATGGCGCAGTGAAATATATTATGGTTGCGATAAGATATATGTAAAATGAATTTATTTGGCAACTTCGGTCCTTGCACGTTTTGATGTTGAGGGTGATGATTCAAATCTGCGCTTCAGCGTTTCAGCTTTGTTTTCACTCTCCTGAAAAAAACAAAAAAAACAAATGGAAAAGAATTAACCACTATTATGAATAGCAACTACATGAAATAACTTCATGCGCAGCAAAACCAAACGTCCATTCTCCCGTGAGCCTTGTATATGCTGCGGTACGAAAAGTCGTAAAACAGTTACTCCCCTACTGGGCGAAGGGTATGCTTTTGCTAAAATTGTTATTTTTTTAGTTGACTATATATGGACCCAAAACTGGCAGGAAATTGAGGGATTCAAATTTTCAACTTCTCAAAGAACAGGGGATTGAGAGGTTGGGGGTTGAAAGGAACAATTTTGTTTCCATGGTATTTCATGCCACACTATTTGAGCTACAATCCTGCAAAAATTATTGTGGACAGCGTGCATGGAAATAGAAATACCTGCAAATAACAGCAATTTTTAACTTCCCCCTCCCCCTGTTCAATGTTGAAAGTAGTGCTGCGCGCCGGAGTTTTGGCCTAATTTGCCGGAGTTTGTTAAACTCCGGCAGCACTTATTTGTACTGCAAACTACTGTCGGCGAAAAATCCTTAATCCATCGACGAAAAAGTAAATACTCGCATCGATACTGCATAGCCTTGCCACAAACATAGTACGAATTACGAAGTGTTCATGCGAAGTGTTCAAATCAAAACAAAGATAGTTCTTCCACTTTGAAATGTGAAATTGCCATTAAATTTCGAATTTTCACAATTTGCCGGAGCTGGAAATTTTCTGCCGGCGTTTTTTTCTCCCGGAGCCGGAGGTGAAAAACCCGGAGTTCGCACAGCACTACACACGCAAAAATCTCACAACTTGTCAACAAGATGTGTTCGCAACAGGCTTGTAGCAAGTTTGTCAACAAGTTGTAACAATGCTGTTGTTTTATCAAGTTGCTACAAGGTTGTCACTCGCAACTTGTTGACAAATTGTTGAATTGCAGGACGATAACAAGTTGTTGGAAAGGAGATTTTTGCGTGTGTAGTGCTGTGCGAACTCCGGGTTTTTCACCTCCGGCTCCGGGAGAAAAAAACGCCGGCAGAAAATTTCCAGCTCCGGCAAATTGTGAAAATTCGAAATTTAATGGCAATTTCACATTTCAAAGTGGAAGAACTATCTTTGTTTTGATTTGAACACTTTGCATGAACACTTCGTAATTCGTACTATGTTTGTGGCAAGGCTATGCAGTATCGAGTCTGTCGAGCTCAACAACCTTGTAGCAAGTTGCCAACAAGCCGTTAACAACTTGTCAACAAGCCGGGAACAAGCAGTGCGAACACATCCTGTTGACAAGTTGTTGGAACAGCATTGCTACAAGTCTGCTGCAGGTTTGTTACAACCTGTGCGTTTTTACGTGTGTAGTTGAAAGCTTATATTGGTTAGGTGAAAGCTTTGTGAAATGCATGTCAAAACCAACATTGTAGGGGAGAGCGTGGGAGACAAAGATGCCAACATGTGTATGTGAAAAGTAATACTTTAGTTTACAAGTAAAGTAGGAAAGTACGTTTTCATTAAAATACTTGGCGTACAGTATGTGATTGTCTATCCCATGGTTTGTAATTTTACCATATAACCAGGGTCGCCGAGAGAATTTGCGGGGTCCAGGGCAAATCTTCTCTGGAGGCCCCATGACATCATTATTTTTAAGCTAGAACCAAGTCAGTCACCCAACTAGACCTTAGCTAGACTGCATGCGGAGGGATGTGGAGCTACTGCAAGGGGCCCTCGCTTTCAAAAATTATCTGACCAATTTAAAGAACCTACTCAATTTTAGGCTCTCTCTCAAGTTGGGGCCCTATTAAGGCGGGGGCCCGGGGCAATTTGCCCTCCCCCCCTCTCGGCGGCTCTGCATATACCAATAATATCACACCTTGGCTGTGTTTGTGGCACTCGGGCTTGATATTGTTGATACATTTGTTGTTTGGGGGCTGGTAACTACTGCTGCTGAAGTAGGTTGTATGGCAGATGGTCGAGCCGGTGTTGTAGTGGGTGGGACTGTCTCTTGAGAAAGAATTATCTTTGAGATCGCTTCATTACGACAACAGTTAGCATTTTGTATTGGGGTTACACCAGAATAATTTGGTCTATTAATGTTTGCTCCTTCAGCTACCAGCAACTGCAAAATTTCGCCACATTCCTGGTCAATAGCGTGGTGAAGTGGCGTGTGGCCGCTTTTACCATCCTAAAATAAAATAACAGATATTAAAATTCAGCAATTTTTGCGCTGCTCTTTATTTCAACTTCCAAAAATAGCAAAAGCAGCACTTGACTGGAAACTGCGTGATCAACGGAAAAAGAAAATGAGGGAGGCCATCAATAAAGAAGAAATCGAAATCGCGAAACATTCCTAACACTGTTTCCTCTGCGGTAAACTCAGGTACCAACCAAGACCCGGCGAGATTCAGCGCAGATAACCCAACTGATATTGCCAATATGTTCAACAGATACTTCACGTCAGTATATACATCAGCTGACAATTACGAGGACACAGCTGATCATGAGCAAGCTGAACCTGCAGTAATGACAGATCTCGCCCTCTCAGTTGAGGAAGTGCAAGCAGTACTTGGATCTCTTGACTGTACGAAAGCTACTGGACCCGATGGCATTCCCGCACGTCTACTAA